GACGAAAATATCAATAATAGGTCTGGTGATGGTTAGGCATGAGACCGAAAGACCCAAGCTACATTATGGACGCTGGTCATGGTGACAGTACTGTTAACTGTGACTGTCTCTCATAATGGGTTCGAGTGAGAAACAGATAAATCGGGTCAATCAACTTCTTGTTCCAGAGATTGCATCTTCTTTTTCTGAACTGTTTCCCAAAACTCACCTTTTCACTTCTACCAACTGTGTTCTTAATGTTGATGTGATAAAGGTGACAGCGGCAACGATGGTGGTCGTGGTGTTGGTGTGCTGGTGTTGATGGTGGTAGTAGTACTGGTAGTAACCATGATGATCACGGTAAAGTCAGCTTAAAAGCTTGGTGGACTGAGGTACCTAAACAGTTTAACTTCAATGTTTACAACCAAGCCGGTTATTTTGATATTCATGGGTGATTATTCCTTCGCAACTTTACCTTTCTTTGTATTTTCTCTCTTTCGCCATTTGGCCCGCCGATTCTGGAACCAGACCTAGGAGGAATAAACAAAAGGGAATTTTTTAAAATGTGTTTTGCTTGAAAATTGTGCTGTCTGTTAGAACCTGCTGGCAGTATTTTGGAAAGACGTCAGTGCGAAGACGCGTCAGTTAGCTGATTTACCTATCCAGCAAGTATAGTACGTTTATTAAGTCTTTTAGCGATTTATATTCCCCAAAGTCACATGGAGGTCTGTCACTACTCGCAGGAACTTAGTCACGCCTAGTAGAATCCTTACCCAAGCGATAGCAGTCAAAATTATCGCCCTTCGTGAAAAACTGGATACTTTTAAGATTGCATTGTTTGTGAATGTGGACGCTCTTGCTCGAAAATCGATCACTGCAGAGCGAAAAAATGCCACAGGAATGATTCACTCACTTTTTTTATTATAACCTCTTTAAAATTGTATGCGTGATTTTCATATTTCCAGTTTTCTGAATCACGTGTCTTTCAGACTACTTGCATTAATCAAACAGCTTTATCAACCATACAGTTGGCCTACCCTTTTTCACTGAGAACGTGTACCTATTGACCAAGACGTTCCTACAATCCAAAACTACCTAACGAAGCAGAACTGAAGCCTAAATATGTCGGATCTTCAAACGCATTCATAACGAGCTGATGTTCCCACGCGCTCGTTGCACCGCATATAGGGAGAGAGATTTTAAACTTGGGGCATAATTTCTCTTCCCAAACAAATTTTGGTAGGAATTTTTATTATTCGTCCCTGAAGGGAAAGAGGTATAGGAACGCCCTTCCCCCTTATGGTAGGTAGTATTGTGTTAAATTCTGAGAAGGGCATCTGTTTCTGTGACTTTACCCTAACACTAGCCCCAGTCTTAACTCTAGCCTTCCTTTAACTTCAGCTTTAAGTCTGATACCAGTTCCAACCGCATCTCTCATCTAAATTTCCTGGAATTTTTAGCGCAAGGCCACATGTATTACTGTGCCTTTCTACTCCGCGGCCCTGCCTGGAACCCCATACATGACCTTTAGCCAAATTGTGACTTTTTGCCACCCGCATGTATGCTGTGATGCGTCATTATAAAATCTGCTGTTTGTTTTAATAAAACTATGAC